TGCATCTATAAGTTATTTGATAAAAAATTATTAATATAAAAAATAACAATAAAAAATATTTTTTATATATTATTTTATATATAAGTATAATTTAGAAAATATTTTTATAACCATTTTAAAAGAGCCGCCCCAAATTTACTATCCCTCCAAAATATTTCACCATCTCCTACAACTAAAAAACCTAATACTCCTAAACCTGAAGCGGCCGTCTCCTGTTCCATTCACTATTACGCTTCTTCACTACTTCGACGCCGACCACCGCCCGATGGTTTGCTCTCTATCCGCTGCTTCGCTACTTCCTGTTCTTAACGCCATTTCAAATAAATAGTTCATTTACTGCGGGTTTGGAAGATGATCATTGCAACCATTTCTTATTGCTTTCCTCTGTTTTCATCAATTTCTGCACCCAGATCGCAAACTCATCTCTTTCATTTATCTTAATTTCCTCCAGTTCCGGCCATTGCCTCCATCTACAACCAAAAAATCACGTTTTTTTTGAAAGCGTTGCTATGAAGCACGACGCGTTTGGAAGGTAGTATTGCCAACCATTAACATATTTAGAAGAAATAGAAGGTCTTGTTGTCAAAGATGCATGTATTTGGAAGATTTGGAGTTAACCTCATGCATATCTCCGACAATTTTATTTATTTGGAAAAAATTCAAAGGTCTCGGTGTCAAAGATGCACAAATTGTGAATATTCTGAGCTAACCCTACACAGGTATGTATATGTTTGTATTTCTATTTGAAGTTTCAAATTCGTTCTATTTTATTTCTAAGAGACAATTTGTGATCCCTTCTAATTTCTTCCATGTATATGGTTATGTTTCTAATTGTGTATGTGATGTGTTTGATTAAATTCCTAAGAGAAGTTTTGTTACAAGAGACTACAATTTAAATAGATTGAATCTGTTTGATTAAAGATAAAGATTTTGCTTGATTTTTATTATAAAATTGACTATTCAAATTTTCCATGGTTAGAATTTTGAAAATAGGATTTGAATATAAACTTGATTTTTCAGTTTTGCCATGGTTGTACATTCAAATGTGATAATAGGAATAACGTCTTTGTTGTTTGAGACTTTGCTCTATATTATAAACACATTATAATTAAATTTTAATCAGTAGTATATACTAACTTTTAAAGTTTTCAATACTTTTAATTTATCTTTTATATTAAAATATAATTTTACATCTTAAATCTTTATATTAGGCAAATACAAAACCCACCAGAAAAGCTGTTGAGTCTAAGACTGCCTCTATCTATCCTGACATACCAACAGTTTTACCAAATAAACCCCTTCACCAGGTTAGTGTTTTTTTACATGTTGAATTTACATTTATGTCTTTTTTTTTCTGATTCTAATATTACTTGTCATTGTAGCCAATCAAGTGTAGTCTATCATATTCGTATAAAGGAACATCGTTGCTCGTGGTACCGTTCACTTATCATCAAAAAGACAATTCATTCATGGAGTTCCTCTACAAGATGATTGCTATAAAGTTTCCATTGATGAAGTGGTAATAAAACATACATTTTTACCCCATAAAACTGGAGAATTCACATTAGTTGATGATGCATATAAAAGTTTTGTTTCATGGCCAAAATACCTTGTGGAAACCGAGTCAAAGGTTTGTTTAATTATGTTCACTACTTTGTGCATTACACTTTATTTTTTTCATAAAGTAGTATGCTAAGTTTTTGATGAACTCATTTTTTTTGTTTCAATGTTGTTATAGGTACCAGAAATTATATCACATCAAGAACATCAACATCAAAACTCAAAGAAAAAGAAACCAACTTACATATCATCTGATGCCCTTCTCAAGAAGACAAGGAGCAATACAAATAAGATGAATGCCTAGTTATGTTTAGGTTTTGGTTTATGATGTATTTGATTTTTTCTACCATTATTAAATTCTTGAAATTAGGACAATTTTTTTTTTGGTATTTTAATTAGGAATTTAATGTATGGATTTGGATTTCAATTATTACTAATATCAAATTATGAATTTTGCTTTTGTTTCATATTGTTGGGTTTGGTTACTTTAATTTAAATTATTTTGATGTGTCTACAATGTAGAAAAAGTAACAATAAATATTAAATTAAAGTGACTTTAATATAAATTTGGCTATGTTTTATAGGTTTTCAATGTCTCTAAAATTATACAATGGTTACTTTACATCATTTTTTAACGTGTGGCTAAATAGTTAACAATAGCCATAATATACAAGAATTATGAGTCTATAGTTGTTTTAAAATGATTTTTATTCTAAAATTTTTGTGACTAAGTTAAACAATAACAACATGAAAAACAATTTATGTGGCAAATAAATACCATAATTGATTGTTGTTGTGACTAAATACTAGCAAATCGTCACTTACCTCATTAATTATATGTGTCCATTTACCGAACATGGACATGTTCATCGTAATTATATGTGTCTAAAATATACCCAATAGTCTTAATATGATACCGAATAGACCTTAATTATAACAAAATGTGTGTCTTTATAATACTTATGATTGTATTTCACTTAATTGTGTGTCTCTATACGATAGGCTATAGTCACAAAAGTTGATTGTTTTTGTGACTAATTATTAGCAATTCGCCACTTATGGAATTAATTACATGTGGCCATTTAGAAAACATGGTCATGCTCACCGTAATTACATGTTTACAAAAGATACACAATAGTCTTAATAAAATTTAAACTGTGTGACAATATAAAAGAACACAACCACACTAAAACATCATAAATGTCGCAAGTTGGTGATATACAGTCACCACATTTACTAAATAAATGTGTCTACTGACGGTTTAACGCTACAATATTGGATATTTAAGGAACAAAATTCCGTACACATTTGCCACACTTTTATAATACGACCACATGTTTTCATATCATACGGACACTACATTTTAAAGTGATCATAAGACTCATACGATGGCGTCACCTTCCGTCACACTTTCAGTGAAAAAATAAAATGTCACTATACGCATATGGTCACACTTTTTTGGTGTGACTGTAAGTCATTTTTCTTATATTGAATTTTTTTAATCCTAGGCATCAATTAACCCACAGGAACCGGTTACCACTAGGTGGGATGTGAACAAAATATATATTTCATTGGTGTTTTTTATACAAAGACTTTACTTAAATAATATTTTTTTTGAACATGGAAAACTTCGATTGTTATTTTGGAACGATTTTGAAACATTCTTACCCTTATAAGTCATTTTCTCAGAGAACAATGATTATTTTTAGCAATTAAAAAGCAATTTTGTGAGGGAGAACAATTGTGTTATTTTAACAACAAAAAAATCATCAAAAAAGCTTTAGCAAGGAGCTAGAGTTACATAAGTTTTTTATTTTATTTTTATTATCTTTATTTTTTTTATTTTACATTGTCGGGTCTACACGTCAATCGATTCAATTAAGAATTGCTTATTTTCTCGATCTAACTTTCAACTAGTTAAAAGCAATGACTTTTACTCGATTAGCTATGCCATTATAGTTTTTAAACTCACCATTAAAGGCACACTCGTTTATGAAATTCCATAGAACCCAAGTAAAAGCCAAAAGGGTAACAAAGAAAGCCCCTCTAATTTTCTACTATAGCCCATTGTTGATTAATCTCGATCTAACTTTCAACTAGTTAAAAGCAATGACTTTTACTTGATTAGCTATGCCATTATAGTTTTTAAACTCACCATTAAAGGAACACTCGTTTATAAAATTCCATAGAACCCAAGTAAAAGCCAAAAGGGTAACAAAGGCAGCCCCTCTAATTTTCTATTGAAGTCCGTTGTTGATTAATCGAGATGGAGCAAATTATTGATCAAACCTCCAGAAGTTGGGATAATGTTCCACAAGCTATGAAGATTTTCTCGAATATCAATAATATCAAGAGAAGTAGAGCACTCCAAGAACATATGCATTTCTGTTTCATTATATCTGTTACACAGTGGGCATAAACTGGAGTTGAGAATGAAACAATTTTTATGTATTCATAAAAGTGTGTAACTTAAAAGTGCCAAACATAGTATTTGTAAGTCCCAAAACTTGGATCTACTCAAGGTATCAATGCAATTGTTTGAGTTAATGCAGAATCTTAATAAGACAACTATACGAAACAAAACAATTAGGTGAAAAAACAATGAACACGTTTTAATGAATGCACACAATTGTATTGATCATTATTAGGTACATCTAATAGCTATTCAACTGTGAATCACTTGAATACTCCAAAAACGCATTCACATAGAATAGATATACATAGACCATATTTATACTATACCAATTAACCTAAAGCCCAAACATAACAAACCCAAACATAACAAGCCCACCGAAAACACTAAGCCCACCAATGATTTCGGTCCAAACCGAGAACACATATTACATACAAAAACAAAGCATAAGCCACAAAGTATAGCCCAACAATCTCCCCCTTTGTTTATTGATTTTAGTGCTCTTCAAAGCTTCTCCACGAGATGCACGTCCGCCTGATCAAATACCCCTGCCCACAACTTCTGTTCAATAATGGTAGCAACCATTCCGGTGAAGGATTTTGCGGCAACTTCAAACAATTCATTCTCAACAATTATTTGAAAGTTTGACAAAGTTCGGATATCACGTTCACTAAACTTCAACAAGTCTTTTGGATCAACAATGCGACACTGGTTCTTCTTTAGCTTGATCACTGCTGATGCAGTAGCCTCATCATAAACCCATAATTGCACTGAATCTAAAGTACCTTCTGGTAAACGTTTAGGAAGCGGAATCGTTTTAGATTGATTTGTAGGCGGCCACATAACATTCACCATGGTTTTATTGGTGCGAGGATCAATGACATTTTTGGCCTTTTTCGTAAACGATGAAGCAGTCTTCATGCCTTCAAAGTTATTTTTAGCTTTATCCTCAAGAAAGTTATTAAAAGACCAGGCCATGGGATCATTGGTTGGATTGTGGAAAGGAGCGTAACATCCTCCCTTTTAGCTACTCAATCCTGATTTTATTCTCTCTTCTTTCTTGAGAAGGAGAGGGACCAGAAGATAAAAATGTGTCAAGATTAGCGTCTGAAGAAGGTCTTACAACTCTTTCACTTGTAGGTTGAGAAGTTGAATTGGTTGGACCAGAACTAGAAGCAGAAGTCTTTTCTCCTTCAGCGCTTAAAGGTTTAAAATCATCGCCAAACTTTTGATGTAAGCATTGTTTCAGGTCAAAGAATAAAGCAGTTAGACCACCAAGATTTGCTTGAAGTTCTGAAATCTTTGCATCTTTAATGGAGTTCTCCTTTTCAAGATCATTGATTCTAATTTCCTGCTTTCCAATAATCAAATCCTTTTCAGCTGAGCTATGTTCCAAATCAAAAACTATGTTCTAAAGCAGAGCAACATCCACAAATTCAGACTCAGGCAACTTGCTTTTTCCTTTTGAAATATCCAGCTCAGGGGCTTCAAAGGAGCTTCCATAAGCTTGAGCCCCTTCTGAAGGTAAGACTTCTTGTTCAACAATAGGGCTTTCAAAATCCTAATGCACAAGTGTGGATTCAGGTAACGGGCTTGAAATCTCTTGCATCACTGGATAGGACTCAGAGAATGTGTTTTCAGTGTTTTGGGCCACAAAACTAGATTCAATCGGAGTAGATAAATTTTGAACAGAGTCTGTGATAAGCACTCCAGGTCTTGAATCTATTCTTTTTCTTTTCCTCAGGAGTAGAACGTGAGCTGAATCATCTTGATCACTCTCAGATGGAGGTTCAGTTGTAACAGGAACTGTTTGGGGAGGCTTCCTCGCAGTTCGCTGAAGATCAGCAATAAGAGCATCCATCTGTTCAGGGGTAGGTGAATACAATTGCACAGTTGAGTCACAATCTCTTTCAGTCACAGCAGAAGGTGTGACAACCACATCTTCTTTAGAGATTGAGATACTTTGTAGAAAATCTTCAAACTCATTCTCTATCAAATGCTTTTCTTGATCCTCTTCTTCTTCATCGTCGGATAATTCAACCTCTTCAAATGCAAATCGGAATTTTGATTTAGGTGCCACGTGTTCCTCGGCAACCTCAACATTAATGGAACTAGAAGCAGGAGTGTTTTCAACTTCATCAAACTTTCCAAACTTAACCAACTCTTTCAATCCTTGATAGGCGACTTTGGAAGCTTTTCTTGATTACTTCATGAGTCCAAAGGTGTTGGGACCCAAAGCTTTCATATCCAAAGTATTAGACGACCTCTCAATTTGAGGGTATTTTTCATTCAGGATCATTTGAAGCGACCTGGGATACATCAAGAACATGTCCTTCTTCCCCTAAAGGTCTTCAAAAACAAACTCTGAAAAATTGTAATCCCAGTTCATTGCTAAAGCGACAATAGCTGAGGTTGCAGTCTGACTGATTTCATCAGATCCTCCCTTCCATCCAGAAATGCAACTCATAAAGTAATGTGCCAGAAACCCCCAGTAAGATGGCATCAACTTTTTGATGGTGGGAGGATAGGTTCCTTCATAGCACATCTTCTCAAGGACTTCCTTTACTTGATCAACAAAATACTCAATTGGAAATGCAGATGCATCATCAAATTCAAGTACTTCACTGATAACTTGCTCAGAAACAATTACTTGAGTTCCCTTTGATGTGAATTATGAACATTGGTTTGGCATGCGGAATTAAAGAACACACAAAGAACACGGTGATTTCGGTGTTTAAGAGATGCATTCAATTATGAAAGGTGTTAAAAAAAATGATCTAGATCTAAATCTACATAATTAACACACACTAACACTCTTAATGTTACATCTCTCAAGCACACCTCTACATGTGGAATGAACCCACCTTATATAGAGGTGTTTACATCTCTCTCTCTCTCTCTCTCTCTCTCATGTCACAAGGCTAAAGCACCACATCCAAGTGGGTCTACAAAAGTCAAACCATTTACAAAGTCATACATGGATAAATTTTTACCCAACATTTGCCCCCTCAAAGTTAGGAATGGATGACCCACTTCAAATCTTCCAAAATCGAGCAACTACGCGATCCGAGCCTCAAGTGTGACACATGTAGAGATGAACTACAAATCTTAAATTCTTCCATGATTCTTCAATTTGGGTTCTAGGATGTGATACCATACGAACCGAGCGTCAACGAATGATCAAGAGCTTCTTAAACGCCTAAATAATCACCCTAAAGTTGAGCATAAAAACACACCCCAAAAATCTTCAATAAGTCAAAACCCATCATGAACCGAAATCACTTCCGAATTTCCAATCAAATCATTTCATAAGCTTCAAATACTCAAGGTCACTTCGGTCTTCAAGTCCGCGTAATATGAAAAATTCAACTTTTGAATTTCCATATAAATTTCTCCCCCTGTTTATAATCGAAATTTGATTATAAAACCAACAAGGAAAGAGAATGTGATCTATTCGGAATTTTTCTAGCCAAAACTCCTCCTTAACATGTGGCATAAACTTTTTGCTTCAAGACGGAAAATCCAAAAAAAAAAAACTTCAATTTTTAGCTTCGTTCAGGGACCGCCTTTGACAAAATTTCTCAAAAATGGGTAGAAATTGTCAATTTCAAAATTCTGTAGTGACCCGGTGCGCCCAAAATAGCCAAAAATGCGAAAACCCTCCCCCATTTGCGAAACTAGATAGAAAGCGTCAATTCGCATTTACTGTAGGACCAAAAATGAATATTCTTCAATTTCTCAGAAAATTAGTCCATTTTCGAATTTGGGTATGGTCTGCCAAATTTTCGAAACTTCAGGGACTACTTTCGAAATTTCTTCCACTTTTTTTCAAACTTTCGAAAATGAGGTCCTAATGTCGAATATGGTATAAACTGTCAAACTTTCGAAAGTTGTAGGGACCAATTCGAAAGTTCTGCCTTATTTCTTTCAACTGTCGAAAATTACCCCAAATGTCGAAGGTGGGTAAGGAATTTCAAACTTTCGAAACTGCAGGTATTAATTTCGAAACTTCTTCACAAGGCTTCAAACTTTGGGAAAATGACTTACGAGCCCAACGAAGTTTTCAAACTGTTCAAAAAACCCCAATTATGTTTTGTTTGTTCAAGAAAACCCAACGAACTTGAAATTTTGTCTAAAAAAGGCCAACTAAGTTACACTTTTGTTAAATTCTATAGAAGTCAAAGAAGAGAAACAGATGACATGACTTATTACCATATCGGAAAAATGACTTGTCAGACCAACGAAGTTTCCAAACCGTTCAAAAAACCCCAGTTATGTTTTGTCTGTTCAAAAAACCCAACAAACTTAATCTTTTGAACATACAAAACATGATTGTGGTTTTTTGAATGGTTTGGAAACTTCGTTGGGCTTTTTTAGACAAAATGTTACGTTTATTGGGTTTTCTTGAACAGACAAAACATGATTGAGGTTTTTTGAACGTTTTGGAAACTTCGTTGGGCTTGTAAGTCATTTCCCTCAAACTTTTGAAAGTATCTCATTATTTCGAAATGGATTTTAAGTGTCAAACTTTCAAAATTTCAGGGACTAATTTTGAAACTTGATTGCTTTCTTCCCAATTCGTTACCCAGTGGCGAAAGTCACCAAAACCTTCGATGCTTTGATAAAAATTTTCGACTATTCCGATAAAAAATCTTTGTTATTTCGAATCTTCGTTACTTGCTTTCATCAAAATACAACATACCATTTCATCGACATTTCCAGAAATTCGAAACATTGACTATCATAATCGACTTCTTCGTTTTTCAGTCATCAACCCAAATCAACAATCCACATCGACCCTTCAAAATCAAAATCGCAATTCCAAGCCTTCGCTTTTTGATTGAAACCAAAATCGATATCCAAAACATCGAGTACAATACTTCGGTAACCATCGACTTCCTAAATCGTCGATTTCCAGTAAACTTCAACTGAAGCCATCGAATTATCGATTCCTAAACATCCTAGTCGACATACAACCCAAACCATCTGTTCGTCATCAAAAACTCGTGAACTAATCCTCAAAACCGATTTCGTTATCACGACCTCACCCGTTGAAATCAATAATCCTGCCAATTGCTATCAAACCAAAACAGATTCGATATCAATCCTTCAAAATCAATTATCGACTCCTAATCATCGACTGTGAAACCCAAGACTTCACTTTTCATTCAACCGATTATCAACATTCATTCTCAACACCAAGATCTGTCAATTTAATTTTGACTCCAAAAAGTCAACACAAACTAAATCAACAATATCAATCTCAAATTCGATTTCAATCATGAGCTTTCTTGACTTGAATCAAATCATCACCTTCGAATTTGATCATATCGATTCAAACTTAAATCGATTTTCAACTCCAAATTGTATAAAATCAAAATCATCGTCCTTCGAAATCAAAATCAAGTTTCCAGTTGAACATTAACAAACATCAACCATCTATTATTAGGAAGATTGAAGAGAAACCGAGAGAATGAGAACAAAAACGCAAGAATAATCCGATCATGAACTGATGAATCAATCGGAGAAAAAAAAACGATTAAGACTTGACTCTAATAGTGCAATCAGATACAACAAATATACAAGTCAACTGGCAAACAATATTTGTAGAAAATCATATGACATTCGGACTTAATGAATGAACGGATCAATATAATTTTGGGCTAAAACAAATCATGAACAATAATGATTAATATAATGGATTTTGGTTTGATGAACAGTAACTGAACTCAAGATTTTGGGCTAAATGTTTTTACCGGATGGATATTCGACTTTTAAATGAATTAACAACTGATTTCCAATTTTGTTTTGGGCTCGATCAAGAAAAAAAAATATTGGATCATAACAATTGGTTTGAAACAAAATCGATCCAATGAGTCAAAATGATCAAAAATCAAGAACGCAACGCATGAATCAAAGAGATTTAGAGAGATTATAGAGAGACTCACCATACATGCTCCAATTGTGATGATTGTAGCCAAACCGAGAATCGTTTCTTCAAAAAATCATGTTGATCTTCGAAGACCCGCTCTGATACCAATTGATGTGAATTATGAACATTGGTTTGGCATGCGGAATTAAAGAACACACAAAGAACACGGTGATTTCGGTGTTTAAGAGATGCATTTGATTATGAAAGGTGTTACAAAAAATGATCTAGATCTAAATCTACATATTTAACACACACTAACACTCTCAATGTTACATCTCTCAAGCACACCTCTACATGTGGAATGAACCCACCTTATATAGAGGTGTTTACATGTCTCTCTCACTCTCTCTCTCTCTCTCTCTCATGTCACAAGGCTAAAGCACCACATCCAAGTGGGTCTACAAAAGTCAAACCATTTACAAAGTCATACATGGATAACTTTGTACCCAACAACCTTCACCATTGATTCAATAGTACTAGCTCCATCTGCTCCCTGCTTGATGATTGAAGCATTTTTCCAGAACTCAATAATCAGGTCTTTTTAGATGACTGGATTAGCACGGAGAGCATGAGAAATCATGTAGTTGTTCAAACCCACCATCATGGATTTGGATTCTTGATGAGCAGCAGGTGGATCCATAAGATATCCAATGACATTGTGAGAGTCTACAAATTTAATCCGCTCTGCCATTTATCTGCACCAAACTAGCCAAGTGAGAATTGAATATATAATTAATTAAATTCAGTTTAAAATTTGATTTCGGTTGAAGTCAAAGAACTAATCGATTTCGGTCAAAGACAAAACTTCAGGCGTTTTCGGTTAAAGTCAAGGATTCCATCGATTTCGGTTAAAACTGATCGATTTCAGTCAAAAGACATTTGACCAGACATTTTCGGCCGATAACTCTGATTTCGGTCGGATCTGAATCGATTTCGGTCGAATCCAGTGTGGATCGAAAACCCTCGGAACTTGTTCTAATTCAGAATTTTGAAAACCTTCAAACAATCCACTCGAAACCTGCAAATGCATGGAAACAAGTACACAAAAGATACTTTAAACATCATTGCCATGATCGAAAACCACATATCTACCTGATTCAATGAAGAATTTGCAACACAAACACCTAAAATAAGCAGATTTTTTTTAAAAAAATTTGAAAGCTTGAGAGAGGACAACAATGGCGGATTGAGGTTTTTAGCGGTAAACCCTAATCCGCCGAGAAGAAGGAATATAAATACCCCCAAAAACGGCCTAGATGGCCCACCTCAAAGATTTCGGCCCAAACCCAAAATAAAATACCCAATTTTTTAAAAGGAGGGTTTCTTTTCGATTTTACATTTCAAAAACCAAAATGAAAATAAAGACAACTATTAAAAATAAAAGTAAACATATAATTTTTATTTTGTTTTTGTAGTAGTTTTTTTTTTTGTTTTTTTTTTTGTTTTTTTTTATATATTATTATTTCTCCCCCTAAATTTGTGCATAACAATGAAAATATGTACAAATTTAAATGAAAATAAAAATGTAATCCATAACCAAAATTTTGAGATCAAATGTTATGGAGCAAATTAAAGAGGTTTATCAGCACACTCGTTCATGAAAAACTCTGGTTAATCATTGATATTGTGATCCGCTTAAACACAAAGACCTTTTTCAGGACAAATCATTAGTGACAATATATAGCTACCATATTCCTAGATAGACCATTTTGTCTGACGATGACCAGGAATATTGTTGTCTACTTAAATTTAGCCAATAATATCTACCAGTAAGCCTTTTAGTTATGGGTGTAGTTAATGTTAGTATACTAGAACATGTTCCCCACTTCATAGCATACTCCAGTAATCAAGGAAATTTCCTCAGAATCCTTTACTTCAGGTGAGTGGTTAATCATTGTGGAATGCATATGTTGTGTCCCAGGTTGGATATACCGATCACGCAGAGGGGACAACATATGACTAACACATAGAGTAGAATATTTGATATTTGTAGGTGATAATATACTGACTTAGAAGTAGTGAACATCATCTGAGTGCATATGTTGTGTCCCAGGTCGGATCTTCCGATCATGCAAAGGGGACAATATATGTCTGACTAAGAAAGAAAGAATAACGATCTTAAACAGACCCAATTTATCAGAACCCCTCAGTCACCCCCTATCAACACCAAAATTAAGGACACGAGTCCATACGCCAATGAAGTGTTGAACCACAGATCTAGATGATAGTTAGCTTCAATTTATGTTAGAGGCTTCCTTGTCTATTTTACTGTTAAACCTATCCAAGAGTCGTATTGTCAGTCCAAATGAAGTTTTCTAAGTTCAAATGAGTTCACATTGTCTAGTCCATTAATTTTAGTCCTTTATTCCTACCAACACATTGAACACAGAATTTATACAATTCAGCTTCAGTGCTTTACACGTATTTCATTTGCCCTTTATCACTAACTCATATCACTTCCCAAAAGTTTGACACCAAAAAAATTAAGAATAAATCAAAATGGAAGAGAATAAGAAATACTAAATAAAAATGGAAATAAATTTCAGTTTTCGAAATGCATCATCTTAAGAAATCCAATAAGCACGAGTTTCGTTTATGAAAAATAGGTTTTTGGGCAATTGAAAATCAGCATTATAATTACCGTGAATAGAAGAGTCAGAAAATTCAAACCGTAACTCAGCAATTGAAGAAATATCCACTTGTGATCTTTTCTTTTCCTTTCCCATAAAGGACACATGCTCTCCATTTAAATTCTGAATGACATGCAGAAGAGAGATGTCCCCTATCATGTGCCAGGAACAGCCACTATCAACATACCGAAGTCTGATGATATTCCTCCATAGCTGCTCTGGCACAGAGTGCGGAATCAATTGGTCTGGGGAACCTAGTCCATTTTGAAACTGGGTTGACCTTTACCATCAACACATGATACTCTTTCCCAAGTCATATACTGTTTATCAAATACCAAAAAATGAAGAGACGTTAGAATTTTTAGATGATTTGGGAATTGAAACCTTTGGTACCCATCTGTAGTCAGGTTTAACCATTTTCCTGTTTGGTTTGATGGATGTTTCATCACTTGCTTTGGAGCTTGAGATCGATTGCTGAGATGACTTTGACCTTACCAATCATGATCTGTCTGAACTATTTCTCAGATTAGGCTTCTTGTCCGACATGCCCTTTTTGACTCTTTTAGCATTCCAATCATCACTGCTTAAACGTGACCTTGAAGGATTTCTTGTGGAAGATCTCCCCTTGGCACGTTCTGCCACCCTTGTTTATAGTAGGGAACATATGAACGATGTGGGGAATTTCTAGCAATGTAACCAGGAGTCCCACAGTTAAAACAAGTTTGTCTTTTTAAATAACTAGGATTGTGACTTGGTCATTGTCCAAATGAAGTTTGTTTCAAAGACCTTCCACAATCACAAGCACATTTATTTGACCTTTTAACAAATTTTTGTGGCTTGGAATTTTCAACAGTGGGATTATTACCATCACGAGTTTTTGAAGCAGTTTCAGCAGAACTAGAATTATTTTTGTTCTGCTCCAGCCCATCTTGCACAGTTACTTTATCTGCACATGAATTAGAAGCATTAGAATCATTCACATTAATACTCTCGGTTGGACCAGATTTTCCAGTCTTGATTGGAGCAATTACAGGGGGTTGGCCATGTTGTGCGTGAGTCTCTATCTCTTTGGTTTTAAGGGACGGAGTATAGTTATCATTGAAAGGAGGTGGAACATTATGATACCCTAGATCCGTACCCTGTTCGTCTTTCCA